GAATTGAATGGAATCATCACATTGTCATTTGTTAAACAACGGCTTTTGCATGTCCTATGCAACCCATTTGATAGGCGACGCACGACGGACGACGCACGACGGCAGATATGGAATTCCATAGCATGTACTTCGGAGCAACTCATTCACGGTACGGTGAGGGCGCCCATGAAACCATCACGCACGTAGAGCTCTCGTGGATATTCCTCCAAGATGTAGTGTGTATCAATGCAAAAATCAGCGGGTCCTGTAATTTTCCATCTCAAAGGGTCACATGACTTCCTGCCAAGTGCCAACTGCTCGTGATGAACGTCCTTGGCTAGCTAGGCTTTATGAATCCGCAGAGTCGTGTGTAGGCCTAAGTATCTAAGTGTCGTGTGTAAAAAGGTAAAATACAGAATAAGAAGTCTCGTGTAAAAAGTGTAGAGCCGGGTCCGTGAAAGTGCTTACCCGGTCATCAGTGGCGAATGATTGACAGTTACAAAGTCTGAGGTTTCCAAACATTAGCATCTCAGGGAACCTTACCACGCCCAACCACGAAGCCACGTGGAGGGGAATTTCGACATGCCAAAAATGAGCAGAGAAAACACAAGGATAAAGGAGTGGAGGATCACGCCAGAGTACAGCATGAATAACTTAATACAAAATTAGTGTCTCTGCTACATGTCCATAATTCATAGCTGAGCTAAATAAGAGACCCTGACAAATGCAAGGACCGAGAACGAGTAAAACTAGGAGGCGCTAGAATTCCAAGATTTGCGGGTGCGCAACAGTACTATGGGTGCACTACTACAAATAAATTCACATAGACAGCAGTGATAAATCCTCATACTTCAAAAATATTTTAAAAATACTCACAACTCTCACAGGTGTTCAGGCTGCACAGAAAAATGATGTTCCACATGTCCTCTTTCATTTTCCATTCAATTTTTAGTGGGTTAACCAATGACATTTTAAGAAATTTTCACCTAAAGCAGACCACCCCTAAAACGAAGGAAATTTCACTGCCCTGGAAAGTACCCATTTTGAAAATGGATCCCTCTGCAAAATGGCTCAAATAGTGCCACTTTCGGACCCGAATGCATCCAAATTGCTCAGAATTGGAAGCCCCGAGTCAGGCCCAGAGGTTAAGTGCCATATTTCTTCAATTCCTCCGTACCATGGCTCCCAGGACCCTCTAATATATAATATGTTGAGTTTATAACTTTTATTAATGAGCACCCC